AAAAGGGTCTTGAAGATCTAGCTATCACTGGCAAAATTGAGGGCAAGCGAGGCAGGAGTAGGCCCAGAACAGCATACTTAGGGAACCTAAACAAATGGGTAACAGGGAAGGATCAGGGAAATGTAGCTTTTTTTTTTAGAGCATCCGAGCAAAGGAATGAATGGAGAACCATGATCGCCGATGTCTGTCCCAGATCTGGCACTGAATGATGATGATGAATATGACATCTCGTGTAATATGAATGTCTGCTTATGTGTCAGTGTTGACCTGAGGAGCGCATGCATGCAGTATGCATGTTCATCCACTTGTATGTGGGCGCAAATAATTAATAATGCGCTCCATCGTGATTCAGATGTTAGAGTACACGAACAGAGGTATCTATACATATTATATTTGTGAAAGTTCCTCACTTTGGCAGCATAAAACTTCGGAACCACTTAACTTTCGAATTTGAAAAAAATTAACGGTGGTTCAGAATCATTTAAAGGGTGCATAGTCATTGTAGTTTAATTTTCAGTTTTTCATTCGTTTCGTTTAGATCTAATCTTGGGAAAATCCGTCTTCTAAGACGCCATTGTAAACAAGTGAGGCTTCCGTTCACAAAGAGTGCGTGCATTGATCCCACAATGACTTGACGATCTATTCTTTTGAGTCCGTTCATCGAACGGGAAACCAGCTAGTCAATGATGATAGTTAAGCGCCTTGTGTCGATTTCCACGATCGGTGGATCGCGCAGAGCTTGTTGTGGACCCATCATAAAACCGTTAAATACTAGACTAGGAAGCTCAAACGTGGCACCCTATATGTTTTTGAAGGTCTGTGAGACTTGTGATCGTTGGTGCCTGCTCCAGGACCGACTGAAAAAGAGGAATTAGATGATGATAATATCTTGGTCAGTTATTTAGTCATACGTATGATCTTCTACGGAAATGTAGGAAAGAGGACATGACCACCATAATAACAAGGAGAAATGGAGATAGATTGGGCATGAACTGAGAAGAAAACTAGACTCTATTGTAAAGACTGCCCTCCTCTGGACACCCGAAGGACATCGCAAGAGGGGCAGACCCAAAGTGACCTAAAGACGCACAGTAGAGTCTGAGATGAAGTCCTGGAACCATTCGTGGGGAACGTTGACCAAGATGGCCCAAAACAGACATAGCTGGAGATCCTTTGTTGCTGCCCTAAACGCCAGATGGCGTGACGGGTAGTAAGTAAGTAAGTACTTTGAAAATATGGATATGGACGCTCATCTGATGTTAACACCTTATTTCATAGCAGAGGACACATAGGATGCCACATTTGAGCTTCCTAGTCTAGTATTTAACGGTTTTATGTGATGGATCCACAAAAAGCGCTGCACGATCCACCAATGTACAGAATGCTCAAACTACCGTAATTTTGTCATGACCAGCAGTCAGTATAACTGTGGCTTTCGGTCTCCCATCATGATTTTAAGTACATTGAGTGTAATCTAGATTTGATAGTGGTCGTTCGTTACGGAAATCCTCCCGTGGAACCTGTGTAAAACGGCAACACATTGTCATAGAGAAAGGGGACGTATAACACAGGTGGCTGTCTTAGGCAGGAATGTTAAAAATGAAGAAAACAAACCATTTATGTTAATACTTGACAACCTCAGAGATTCCACAGAGCCCTGGTCAGTGGTCAGTGGTCTCTCTCTCTGTCCTCCGACACCCAGTGTCCTGTCCCTTCTCTTTGCCTTGTCCAGTATTATTGGCTTTTTCCTCACTGTAACTAATGTTTTATGACAAAACGCTCTGAACAATAAAAACTGATTCCGATCAAGATGACGACGTTTTTAGATTTCAGTCTATAAAGATGTTATTTCTCTATATTTTCAAGAATCCAGGATTCTATTTTAAGTAGTACCCTTGAATACATATCCTGATACTGATACACATGATGTACTTAGGTCAAAATTCTCAATTTTCAAATCTTTATTGTTCAGTTTAAAACAAATTACACTGGGTAGACTAATATTACGGACCATTTTTCATATTTCCAGAATTAAATTTTAAAAAACTGTTAAAGTTTCACTTAAAAAGGTATCGGAGCTTTTAAAAGAGCTACTATTTGGCGCTCATTTGACCTTATGCAGTTGCGAGCGCCGTAAAGCCTCTACTAAAACAAAAACTAAAAGAGCTACTATTGCTGCTACAACTACAACAACTACTACTACTACTACTACTACTACTACTACTACTACTACTACTACTACTACTACTACTACTACTACTACTACTACTACTACTATCCAAACTGATATCGTAGCCTAGAACCAGATAAACATACTACTATGGGAGGTAAATATTGATGGTGGCTTGTTGACCTCAACCCAAAAGTCAAAGGTTGTTTCTTTGCAGTCCCCCAGTGTAGAACGCTACAGAGTCCCCAAATAGATCTAAGCAGCGCTTGGGGACTGTACAAAGCACATCAACACACACATACAGAGATATAGAAAAAGAGAGGGGGGGGCGGATAGTGTGTGTGTGTGTGTGTGTGTGTGTGTGTGTGTGTGTGTGTGTGTGTGTGAATGAAAATGAAAATGACAATCGTTATACATCTCGCAGGGAGAAATTTGTCTTGGTCGTTAACAAGGGCAG